CATAGACTGAAGGATCTGCTGGATAAGGAGAGCAGGATCGCTAAGGAGAAGGAGGAACGGCATTTCAAGGTATGTCAAACCAAGGCATATGGAACAAAGGGCAATGTATGATTCTGGTTGATATTCGCAGTTTCTGCGTACTTGCATAACAAAAATCCATGGAAGTGATCCTCTTTTCTCTCTCTCGCCTCTCTGAGATATTTATTTGAGATAGAAACAAATTCTTTCATTTGAAATACACGAAATACTCTCTGCTCTTTTAGACGGTAGAACGTCTGGAACAATCGCACAGCAAGGCAATAGAAACACTAAAGGCGGAGCATGCAACAGCGGCCGCGTCCAGTAGAGCGGCTCTCGAGCGAACACACGCCGAGAGAACGAGAAATGCGCTCGCGCAGTTGAGGGCCGAAGCTGAGCAAGAAGCCAAGAATGCTGATAGGAAGCTGCGGGAGGTTACCACTAGGGTAAGTAATTAGATTATTACTAAGATAGCAATACTTAATATCAGCAAAACTTCTTATGAAAGAGTTTGTCCAGGGAACCACTGTCACCATACCTATAGTACCAATCACGGAAGAAAAAAACAATGGAACTGCCTAAATCCTCGATTACTATCATAACCTCCGTCGCTAAAACTCACACATTCATAATTGGAAACATTATAAAATCTTAATATCGTTGTTTCAATTTTGAAAAGAAATAACAAATCACTGCTAATATAATTTAAACTTTGCTCTGTTGGCTTATCGTTGAAATTTTAATAACATCAACTATTATTGCAAGTTAGGACGTTTTGATTTTATATTCAAATTTCAATCATTGTGCTGAAATCTAGCGATTAATAGCTCAATGACGTCGAATTCGAGATGTTTACTTAATTTTTCAAAAAAGAGGCGACCATATTTTTTTATAATACCAAGTAGGGGGATGAACAAGTTCTGCGCCTGGTGGTAAGCGACTCGCCTATTTGTAACAGTTGCAGTGTCACTCAGAGCTTTAAATCGCAAAGATGCCGTCATCCTGAGATATAAGTTGACAAGTCGCATGTGTCTGTAATTTCACCTGCACCCAAACCGGAACGCAGTAATGCTCAGTTTACTGTTTGGTGGCACAAATGCCACCAAAGGCCACCTCACCTGGCAGTACTTCCTCAGACGAACTCTTTCACAAGGAGCTCTACTGCTACTAACGTATTTGGGCTCATGAAATTAGTTTCGACGAGTTGTTATCTTTCTGAAATTTTTCCAGTTCGAAAACCTAAAAGAAGTGCTAGCAGCCAAAGAAGCACAATTTGAGAAGGCATTATCAGAGGCCCACAGTAAAGCAGATTGGGACGTCATGCAATTACGCCATCTATTGGACAAGGCTGACATACAATACGCCAATAATGTGGAACAGATGAACGAGCGGTTCGAGAATGAAACAGGTCAGTGAGTTTTCTAAAAAATAAATACATAGAATTGTAGTCTGTCTTTTTTGAAGACGGAATAAAATGACAATTACAGGTTTGCCAGTTTTCATAAAATTTTAAATAGTCATGTAGTCGTTATCGACAGTTTTATCGATAGATTGGAAAGACGGTAAATCGAAATCAATTTTTATTCATATTATACGTTTTAATAAGAACAGGCAGATTTGATGATCTACAATGAATTAAAATTAAAAACTAAAATAAATCCTCTTTGTATTTTTAATAGAAATAGTTCTAAATGCAGTGCATGTATGTAGGAACTTACAAAAATTGACAATTCAAATGACCCTGTGCCCAGCAGTTGGACGAATGATAATTGGCCAATGATTATTCAAATGAAACAAATTTGCTATTTATTGCATAAGCGTGAACATTCCGTCGATAGTCGATAGAATATTTATCGACTGCAATCACTAACTACTCGCAAGCGGGCAACACTTTTACTTTTTTCTTCATTCCGCATGGAACAGGCAAAGATCAGAGATCATACTGCCTAGTCATTAGTTTCTCTTTTTCTTCAATACAAAATCTTTCGATTTAGTGTTCAATGTGAGATTCAGATTAAGTCTTCAGTTTAAAATATGAGCAATGAATTGTCATTTTACTGCATCTTCCTTAGCAAAAGACAGACTATAAAATAGAATACGTTTATTTGCCAGAATACAAACAACCTCACAGAACTATATCACTAACATGATAAAAATACAGTTTTATCCAATGACTTTAATTCACCAGGTTTCATTTTTGTACAAAAGTAAAAGTATTCAAATAAATCGCTCTGAACGGTAATAACTCTGTGTGGTATGAAAAGAAAGCGCTAGCTAATGCAAAACGCAGGAGCGGGGCTAGGAGATGTCTACCATACCAAACATAAATCTGTAAAGTGTCAGATAGTACAACTAAAATCTCCTCCAACTAGTGTTTTGCAATCGCAATGCAGTAGGAATATAATGTCTGTGACTACATGCTTGGTTAAAAACATCCTCTTTTGCCTACAGATCGTCTGAATGAGGAGTGGTCGGAAAAACTCCGCGTAGTGGAAGAACAGGCGTCCTCGGCAGCTGACGAAGCGAAGAAGCTGCTGGAGACCACCAGAATGAAGCTCATTGCGGAAAAGAACGATCAGGTTAACAAACTGAAGGAACAACATCGACTGGAGATGGGTGAGTTTTTTTTTAGTCATAAGACGCACTCTATGACATTAAGTTTGAACTAAAGGTCACGTAGGCCTTGAAGAGTGTGAGTTAGATGCGGAAAAATTCCTTGTACGGTATACATTTTAGAAATAAAATATACTGATACAGATATTATTAAATCACAATTTGACTGCCTCCGTGGCCGAACGGTTACCATGCCGGACTGCCATGCAGAGGTCCTGGGTTCGATTCCCAGGCCGGGAGAAATATGTGTATGGCCTACATTTATTTCTCTCGTGAGTTTGGGTGTAATTAGTGGTTGTCTATGTGTGTGTCCATGGCACCCGCCACACAGGGTTTCCCTAGTGCGGGGCTATGTTGAGTGTGTGCGTTATTATTATTAAAGAATACGGCAGAGAAAAGAACAAAAGTGCGACCTCACCTATAAATTTTTGTTGACTTAATTTGTATGCGTCTGTTTATGAAAAATTTGTGAAAATATAGAGTTCAAATTCCTGAACAAATTTACTTTTGAGTTTAATATTCTGAGAAATCTGTAATTAAAGATATTTCAGTTTGAAGTTTTGGAGATTAGATTTGACATAAGTGAATGAAATATATTCGGCATATCATCAAAATAAATAAACAACAGAACTTAAACAGAGTTAATAGAAACTGAATGGTGTCGTGGTTTTGTGACGTCATCTATCCTCAACATCGGGAACTTTTTATCAGTTTTACCACTTTCTTGCGTGGCATGTTTGGAGAAGGAATTATCTACTTTGTTTTTTGTAATAAAGTAGTTAATCTCGTATTGGAAATCGGTCGTACATTTTATATTACGTGAACTAACTTAATGTTGACCAATCTATACGTAGGTATTGAAATTCTTTTTTGGCGATTAGACGTCGCTCAACGTTAAGAAACTAAGGGTCGTATTCCAGAACTCAACTCAATGCTCAAGTCAGAATTTGAGTATGATGCAAAGCACTCGAAATCATACTCAAGTCCCTGCCATTAGGGTCGTATTTCCAGTGCTTGTGTTTCCAGTGCAATCCTGACTTGAGCATTGAGTAGAGTTCTGGAATACGACCCTAAGAAATTTATTAAAATAAAAAAATTTAATATGAAATTATATTATAATAGTATAATTTGAGCTATCGAATGAATTTATTGTATTCAAACATTGACTTACAAATAAATGGACGACGGGTCTAATACAAAAACCACCGAAAAAAATGTCCCAAGTCAACCTATTTAAACGTAGTGACATGTAAAGGAATATGAAAAAGCTAAAACGTTGAATTTAAATTATAATGTCATCGCAGTACTGTCTAATTTTGCTTGCTACGCTGTCAGTCGAACAAACGAAGACTAAAGCGTGAATGACGCTCTGTATACGATTTTAACGCCCTATAAGTTCGGACACTTTTTAGCGCGGACCCGACGGCCATATAATTGTAAATCAATGTATTTAAACATGTAATTATGACATTTGAAGATGCACAAGAATTATTTAAAATAATTTCGCCATTGTTCTTTCATTGAAAGATTTAAGTGTAAGAATCGAATGAATGTGATTTTTCCGTTGATGGAATTACAGGCGTGTGGATGTGCCCATGTGGAACTTGTCAACTTGTATCTGTCGGGTTCTGTATTCTGTTGTTCTTTTGGTATCATAAAAAACTAGTGCCGTGAAACTAAACTAGCTAAATAACTAAATAAAGTGTAGTATTTACATGTAAATATAAATTAAATTCGCAGAGGAGCAGTGGGAACAATTCATGATAGATAAAGAGACCTGCCTGACAAGAATGAAGGCGGAATGCATCCAGGAGGGCGAAGAGGATCGTGTCAAGAGGGAAAAGGACTTACTTGAAGAGATTGCTGGTTTGTAGAATAAAGTCCATTATTGCCGAGGCCGGGAAGTAAGGGATTGCTGGACGAGTATGAGTCAAACAAGCAATCCTCGTACATAATGTTTATCTCAAACATATTAGAGAGTACAATCCATTACTGTATTTTCGTTAGACTCTCACTAGAACTATTTTTTGCGAAGAAATACGAAAAGGACAAAAAAAAACAGGAAAAATACCAAAGCACTTTAGTTTATTTTACACTAATAACTGACCGCTACTGGTACTGAAAAGAAAAAATGTTCCCTATGGAACCACTAATAAGTCTTAGTAGTGACATCGGGTAATAAAGATTAGTTTTTTTTTTAACTTCAATAATTCAATTTATTTTCGTATTAAGTTTCATTGTAGGTATTTTTCATAAGTTTGTCACGGGAGCGCGGACGGTGAAAAAAGCTGTTTAAAAAATGCAATACGAAGATCTGTAATAAAAAAGTAATTCGTAAGGTTTGTCGACTAGATCTATGAGTCAGCTAGTTAAGAGTCTATACAACCTCAAATAGCTTTGGTTGATTTCGCATAACACTGAAAGTGTAGAATCAATCACTTCGGAAAAAATATATAGTAAAATCATAGTAAAATTGAGAATATACACTGAGTACAATACGGTGTGAAAACACGATTCGTAAAAATTTTCACAATATAAAAAAAAACACTAACTTACCTCGAAATTTTAGAAGAAAACCTCTATATTCAATAGGTACAGTACATATACCAATGATTTCTTTTTATATCAACTGAACTAATAGAACACGTATAATATACGATATACTTTTTGCAAATGGCTTTAATTTCTTTTGTAAAAAATAAATTCTGAAATAAAGCCTGTGCTCCTGCCGCTCGATCATCCAAGCTAAATGAACCGTATTAGTACGGGAAAAACTACTGTACTGGGTAGTTTCGACTACGACGACGATGAAGGGCGTATGTACGCGCTAAGAAATTCGAGGGATCTGCTACGGAAAAGATGAGAATGGTCTTGTACACGACAAGAACTTTGTCGGCACTAGCCACGAAAACATGTCGTGTCTATTGCAGACGAGAAAATTATGAGTATGTACACGATACGAATGCTTTCGGACAGACGTGTGTAGGGTAAAATGTGTCAGTGCATTACGAGTCTTCCTATAAGAAATATTTTGACTACTAAGCACGCAAGAAATATGTTGACGCTTAGAAATATGTTGACTACTAAGCACGCATAAACGTTCGTTTACTGACAATGCACCTCACCCCGCCCCATATAATAGCGGCAGAATGCGTCATGTCGGGCGTAGACAAGATTTTTTTCTTGTCCGGAAACGAGGTAGTGTACACAGTTCGTGTGTAGAAACGACACGAATTCTTGTATAGACCCGGCGACTTTTCTTAGCGTGAACACGCGCCCTAAGAGCGGTGGTGGGTAACAGACGCTGGTTCGAGGCCATTCCGATCGAAAGAATTTTCTTTGGTGTTCGATCTTTGAATCAATAATAATTTAACATATCTTTCACTAAATACAAAACTTTATTTACAGAACTCAAAGCACAGGTTCAATCAAAGTCTGTCGACTTTGATAACTTATTAGTAAAGGCGGCTGCATGTGGCAGGACTCTTGCTGTCACAGAGCAGGAGTTAAGGTACGATATTTCTCTTTTAAAAAATAACCATCGTTAATTGGATTATCTCTGCATGTTGTATTGTTGGAGAATCAGTTTTGTTTTTGTTAATAATTGTAATCTTTACTCATCCCCAAGAAATTGATTCATTGTATACATCAGGGGCCTTACCATGATCTCTTATTACACTTCAGTATGGGTTAGTAACGACAAAAAAGCGGTATAGTGATATGACATGAAGTGTCATGTAGCGCTGTCTCACAACGAACTGTCTCACATTTCAGTGTACCTAAACTGAATCGTAATAAGAGTTCATGGTAAGTCCCCAGATAATAGTAATCTCCAGTGTGGTAATGAAGCTTATAAGCTATGAGTACCAGAACAATAGAAATTGCTCTGAGGTCATTCCCAGAACACCCATGCCAGAACCAATTTAGAAATATTTCGCAATTTGGTCTTACTGGGAATCAAACCCGGGACCACCTCATTCAGCAAAATGTAAGTTTTGCCACTGTTTTACCGTATGTGCGAAAACAAAAAAAATCTGAATTTTCAAAGGCACTAAAACAAAAGCTATTTGTGATCTTGGCTTCAGTGAACCGGTAATATTAGGTAATTTGTTTTCCTGTTTTCCCAAAAAATTCCTAAAGGGTTCTAAGGTCCTTATATCTCCTGTGGTTTCAAATTTCCCCATAATATTTCAGTCAAAAAATATACAAAAACTGTTTAGGTTTGGAAAGAAACTGATTCTCTAACTTTAAAAAAATCCCCAAATGTGTTTGGTAGCAAATTTGATCCTTGACATTAGAACTTACCTTTTAAATTAACTTAATTTTCAAAGTAACTAATATTTTTGTAGTTGTTATTAAAAATATTGTCTTTTGGACAAATTTGGCTACCATTTGCATGTCGAAATTTTGCTTTATTTATTTATTATTAATTTTCATTATCTTTACTAATTAATAAAATAACAAGTCGCACTCTTGGTATAATAAGGCCACATATGTATTTGTAAGAGAAAGGCACATTAGTCTGGTTAAAAATAGTTACAGATTTTTTAAGCATTTTTTTTTTCTTCCAACATCTCTGTGCAAAACAAAAGAGTGTCGCTAATTTTGACTGACAGCGACGACGTCACAATAGTGGCCAGTACTATTTTTAAATTAGAAATATTCAAAAGACATTGCTTTTCCGCAGCCCTTCTTATGTGATGTCGTAAAAAAAGATTTGAAAATTCTAGGAATTAAATTAGTCGATAATTTTTTATACTTAAATTTTGGAGTATAAATAATGGTGAGTTATAAAATTTCACACATCCTCGTAATTCCCTGTGAGCATCAAAATGTACATAATATGTGAAATTGCGAAGTAATTGCATTCAAATTTCGCGCTCAAAAGGGATATTTGTATGTTTATTAATTACATGCACTTGCTCTTAACTACTACCTAGCTCTGGAGCAAAGATAGGATCTACGATGGAACGAGCTCGCCCAGAATATGCTTATTCAGTCGCACCTTAAAGATACTCGGGTTGCGTAAGCTCGGAAACACAGTCGCAGACAGGGAATTCCATTCCTGGGCTGTGCGCATAATAAAAGATGATGAAAAGCGCTTAGTACACCTGAAGGGAATATCTACCAAGTAAATGATGATATCCCGCCATACGTCTGGATGTCCGATGGTAAAAGGGTGCGGGCGGAATGAGCTGATGGAGCTCAAGGGCACACTCACCGAAATATATTGTGTAGAAAACCGACAGAAAGGTAACTTTGCGTCTGTGGGCTAAATTATGAAGTTTAGATTCGAGCTTATCGTCGCCAATAAGTCTTCTGGCTCTGCGCTCTATCGAATCGATTTTGTTTTCATTAAAAACTTTTATCTCTCGCCTTGAAAAGGCCCAAGTTATACCGTTCAGGTAACAAGTCTGCAGGCAGGGAATTCCACTCCAAAGCCGTTTGCCATATAAATATGGAAGCGAAACGTTTCGTGGGAATCCTTGAAATATCCACAACATTCTTCTGATCCCTCAATGATGGAAAGGCAAAGGTGGAATCAAATTATGTAATTCCATCGCACACTCTCCGTGATAAATATCCTTGCTCTGCAGCTTCGCCTCAACTAATTTGAGTCAACTATAAGCCTTTTGGCACGCTTGTCGATTGAATCCAAGATGGTCAGTCGGTATTTACCAGAGCCATCCCATAAGTGACAGCAGTACTCCATACACGGCCGGACTTGTGCTTGGTACAGCTGATACAACTGTCTATTTAGTACATTGTAATGTACTTTCGGCGTTAAGCGCTTTTTCCATTGTAGTTTACTGGGTTTTGGGAGGATATACATTTTTTTATAATATCAAGTGACGGGACGGAATCGCAAAGATCTTAGGGGCACTGCCACTGCGCCCGTCATCTTTACACATAAGTTGACAAGTCCCCAGTGCCTGTAATTTCAAGAGCACCCTTACCCTTCAAAACTGGAACCCAGTAATTCTAACATTACTGCTTGGCGGTAGAAATAGATAAGGTGGCAGTACTTCCTTGGACGTAGTCTTTCACAAGGAGCTCTACTGCTACTACACATAATTTATTCATATAGTTCGTTTTATTTTTATGATCAAAGCATTTTAATTTATTACCACATGTGCCTTTATTATACCAAGGGTACGAATTCCATATTATCCATATGCCATAACACTCATTTCATTATTATACATCATTTTACAGAACATTATTGGTATTTAGTTACATTCATCATTCATATTTGTCTCATTAAAAATCGCAATAAAATTGTCCAAAAGGCAGTATTTATAAAACAACAAAAGATACTTTAAAAAGTCGGTATGTCTGTCGGGAACTTTTTGTCAGTTCTGCTCTACCAGAAATAAATATTTATTTTGTTACCAAGAAACATGTTCTTTTTTCTAATCAAATAGCTTAGAGTTCTTTTTAACAATAGAAACTTCAGAATATAAATGTCTTGGATCAAATTCTGTTACTCAAAAAAACAGTAGTTATAAAACATTGTTATATGAAAATAATGACTTGGAAAATCGCTTATCGCTGGAAACGCTATTTAAAATGTAAATATTAATACACTTCAAAGAAAGGAAAGTTACATAGTATTTATTGTAAAACTGATTTTTTCTTATATAATTAAAATCAAAAAGTAAACGTTTCCACTGTTCACACAGCTGCATTAAGAGAACAAACGAAAGAAGAAAATATTTTCCCACAGTTGCAGCAAGATCGGGGCCGCAGTGTCAGCAGTGGCAGTTGGTCTACTTACTGGATCCCTGCGTTTGGCATTCGCCACCTTCCTTCTTGCATTAGCCTTTGTATTCTACCTTCAAATCGTTAGAGATAAAAACGCTAGAAAGATCAAACAAAAGTAACAACTTTTTCCTTGTAGTCCTACCAAGCTGGTAGAACCAGTCGACATTTAAAAATATATAATCACAAAAAATTAGTCATTCAAAGCAAATTTTTGTTTTCAAACCAAATGTACTGCCAAATTGGACTAATTGTTATCAAAATTAGTTGTCATTTATCAATGTTATAGTGTAGGTGTTTCATTTACAGAAATATTCATACATCTGTGTAATGTTTTCGTATTCATTATGTAATATATTTATGGTGTCTTTAAAATATTTGGTATAATGCTTTACTCATACCATGGACCATTAACTCAAGAAGACTGCTAACCGCGATACAAGACAGCGTAATCGGGTATTTAGTACCTATTGCGTACACCAGATGTCGCGACGATTACTAAATAGCTACTTTTATAACTATAGTACCGGCAGGCTATGATGGCCGTTTTGACATTTGTCCGCTCATCAAGTTTCGTATTAATTCATAACTGCGTTGAAGGAGCTAATTGCTGTACACTGTTGTCAATCGTGACGTGGAGTAAAATTTATGAAATGTATAATTTTACGACACAACTCGACATTTGTTTTTCGAAATTTTTATGTTATGTTATTACTATGTATATGTACTACCCCCTGCAATACTAGTTATCAATCTAAAACTTTATAGATGCGACTCGCATTTGGTTATATTTTTTTCGATAATGAATCGAGATTTGACCTCACTATTGTAATCTGTCAAAACGGCCATCATAGCGTGCCGGTATTGTTTTAGATTGACAAGCTGCAATTTATCAAAGCTACTCTAATTTCTAGTGATAACAAACAAATCAACTAGATGGCGCTTATTGCACAGATTGTCAATAGTACCTGCAATTTTTTATTTTGTTTAGGATTATCGCTATCCATATTAGGAAGCGTTAATTTGTAAATTCAAGATCAATATTTTAATAATGTTACAAGGAAAATAAAACTGACCTCTTATATTTCATATTAAGTGGATTTAATTGATATCCACGGCCATTTAAAATAAAATAAACCTTTCTACTACAGTGTTAGTATACATTTACTTATTGTTATGTATCTACATTGACATGTTATGAGTTACATTTACTTTATTAGTTATGCTATTAGTTACACTTATACAGATTGTTTTTTACATGGAACAGTTTAGGGAAATCCGAAAGCATAGACGATACAAGGAAACTGTCTTAGGAACCATTAAGATATTTTCATGAAAATATTTTTGGCATAGTTAATTTTTTGGACAAGCGTGAGTCTTTAAAAAATAATAAAATTTATATATTTTTTTAATCAGCATTAAACATCGACTGTTTTCTCTAAGGATCATTTCATTGTATATGACGAAAACTTCAAAATTCTTTAAAATTATTAAATTTCAAAATGTTTTATAAATTTTTATTGAATTGATATTCAATTATTTTTTGTGAAATTATTCGACTAGTTTGTTATAGTTATTAATACAAAGATCTCAGAAAAAATCCCTTCGATCCGGCCGGATTCTAACCGTCGTCTTCTAGCTTACCGTGCCAGACGCTATACTAACTAAGCCACGGAACGAACCAGCTGACCTCACGAATTTTTCTAAGTGCTTGCGTCGCGTCGTATCTTTGTATTTGGTTTTTTCAACGATTTTTTAGTCGTAGCGCCATCTATGAGAAATGTATGAAAATTTTATCACCCAGTTAGATATCTTTACAGTTACCAGCCCTGACGAGAGATGTGATCCTTATAAGAAACTGAGTCTATTTGCATTAAAAAAATTAGTCATTTATTAATTTTTGATGAAATAATATTTTATGAAATTTGGCCAATTTCTGCTGTCCCAATTTTTTTCATCCCATACAATGAAATGATCCCTTTATGAAACTGAGTCGGTCAGCATTTAAAAATATTTTAACCAATTTTATTCATTTTTAAGGACAACTCACGCTTAACCAATAAATTGACTATAACCATTGACTTACAATTATATGGACGTTGGGTCCGCGCTAAAAAGTGTCCGATCTTATAGGGCGTTAAAATCGTATACAGAGCGTCATTCACGCTTTAGTCTTCGTTTGTTCGACTGAAGCAAGCAAAAATTAGACAGTACTGCGATGACATTACAATTTAAATTCAACGTTTTAGCTTTTTCATATTCCTTTACATGTCACTACGTTTAAATAGGTTGACTTGGGACATTTTTTTCGTGGTTTTTGTATTAGACCCGTCGTCCATTTATTTTTAAGTCAATGACTATAACAAAATTGTTTTTACAAAAGAAGACAATGGTTCCTAAGACAGTTTCCTTGTATCTTCTATGGTTTCAGATTTCCCCATACTGTCCCATTTAAAAAAACACTAATATCTTAGTAGCTAGCTACAGTAGTAGCCGCCTCCTCGACGTAGGCCTCCTCTATTGTCTTCTATAACTCCCTATCACTGGCTTTCGTCATCCATTGTGGTCCTGCTTTCTCTATAAAAGTGTCTTCCCATCCTTTCCTCCACCGACCTTTACGTCTTATTATGTTTCTAAATATCCACTTTGTCACTCTCTTTGTACATTGATCATTTTTTATCCTACATAATAGCGTACCCACTTCCACTATCTATTCCTGGACATAGTGGCAGGACAGTGCGACCGGCATATCCGGCCTAGCCTGGAGAGCTAGTAGAGAATAAGCTAGATATCCCCCGGTCCCTCTAGCCGCTTAGGTTACTGGGAACTGCAGCTTGATTTTGATTGTCTCTCCCGATCGGAAACTGCGTCTTCTCCGAGTCGATTCACAACTGGCCGATCGGAAATTTTTAACATTTCTAATCGGAACAATAGTTGATTCAACTCACGATTTAGAAAGATATAGTAGGAATCAGGTTCACCTTATCGCTCAGAAACCCATCTGATTTCGAGACTACCCGATCGATTCCGATTTCAATCAAAATCAGGACGCTGGAGAGACGCCGTTTTTAGCGTCGGGAAGTGAGCGTGCCGTACAGCTCCGCCACCAAAGAGGAGATTTGGTAGTGGACAGAGGTGGCAACCGTTAGAGATGAGCGTACCTACAGCTCCGGTACCTATCTGGAAAATAAGGAGGGTAACTGTGCTGTACACCCGAGGCGGCTCACATAATGCCTAGCTTTCTGAGACCCGGATAAAGTCCGTGCAAACGGGCCAATCTGGGGTCAGGACTTGATTGAATAGGTCCCTGTGCGGGCTTACTTGCACAGGTTGTAGTGCCCTTCCCGTATACCCTACGGGTCGGTAGGGAAGGTCACTATAATCGAAACTAATGTAGAAAGATGTGAAAGTAGGCACACTTCCATTTAAAAGACCGTATAGTTTTCATTACATTTGTTCTTATTCTGATTGCTGTATTCTTTTATACTCCACGGCCATTTACATAATATAAACTAATCAGAAACAGCGCCATCTATATTTGTAAGGCGGAATTCTGACCTTTTTCAGAGCTACGATCGGTAATAAGGAAATTAGCAGTTCCTCTTGGTTATTGGTCCATTGTTATATGATATAAAACGCTTTGCTTCCAAATTTTTGCTCATTTTCGTGACATGTTTGTATGTTAGAGAGTAAGTATTTCATTTTAACAATTTTATATAATTTTTTATACTGACTTTGTGTTTGAAAAATAAAGTTTATAAACATATTTGTTTTTCAAGTTATTCTCTATTATTATCCTCTATTATCGAGTTCTTAAGGTAAAATTTTTACAATCTGATTGAGGATATATTTTAAAGTAACATATAAAGTGTTCAAAATAACGTAGACAATGATTCCAAGATTTAATAATTTCATTTATACAGTAAATACAGCACTATTATGACAAAACACAGTTTTTCTCCTTTTTCTTTTTATGCCTAACTTATCCCTTGATCCAAAACTAACAGAGAGGCTCTTGCTCGAGAAAAAGAACTGCGGGAGAAGAGAGCTGAAGATCAAACGAAGATTAAGCAAGTTGAAAGAGCTGGCAAGGACCAAATCGACCATTTGACGAGAAAGTGTGCATGTTTGAGGAAACTGTAAGCGTCTTCCTTTAGTTTCTTATTTATTAAACACGACAATATAGAAATAGTTATTTGTTATGCAAGAGACTCAAAACAACTTTTCATCTCACTATAGCGAGGAAAATGGTAGATGAAAGAAAAACAATTGAACTATAAAACATCAGTTTTTATAATTAGAAGAAAAAGTTTATCTTCCGATGCGTTCTGAATTGACAGCTCATCGATTTTTATTCTTGCTAGTACTTTATTTTGTGTGATTAACTGATTATTGAAATTATTTTAGTTCTTCGACGAATTAACATAATTTAATAAACACAATTAGTTATCTTTGTTGTCAATTTGATGTCAACAATAATAAGAATAAAATATAACAACGCATTGATATTACTACATAAAAAGTAATGTACGACAAATCGAGTAGTTAAACGTGTTATTATCTTTTTTTTCGTCGAAAGGAAAGATCAAAGTTAGGTGCCCATCGTCAAGTTCGAATATCAAACATCTTTTCCACGCTATCGTGCAAAAAACGCTTTTGCGCGCAAATTTCTAATAATTTCTAGAAAGCTTTTCCGATCTAGTGAGGTGAAAAGTTACTTTTCCGCAAGCGCTTTAGACACTTACTTTGTGATCAGAGCAACGGAAAACAACAACCTACTTTTCTAATACCAAGTGAAGGGACAAACAAGTCGTGGTACTTAGTAGAAAGAGACACTGTCAATGACAGTTCCAGTGCCACTGAGAGCTTTAAATCACAAAGATCTGAGGGGCACTGCCACTGTAACTGTCACCTTGAGACATAAGTTGACAAGGCCCTGTAAATTCACCAGCACCGTTCAAAACATTTACCTATTTTGGACCACAGAAGTACTGCAAAAAGGCCGATCTGTAACAATTTTTATTTTTTTCCTAGGGGGATAAGGTATGACGTTACTTCAAAAGAAAAGTAGATATTTTTTAAATTTATAATCTTTAAACATTGTTTTCTCGATTTGAAATTTGGTCACAAGCGCCCTTTCAACGGCCCTGTGAAGTTGTTAATATTTTACAAATAATCCTTTATACTAGGTGCAATAAAAAAAGACCCATTTCAAGAACCTATGTAATCAATTTTCAGTTTCGACGACATTCGCGCTCGTTTAGCATCCCGGGAGAAAATAGCCGAGGAACAATCAAAAGCGAAGGACAAAGAAATCATCCACTTGAAAGCTGAAGTGGCCAGACTTACTAAGATGTTGGTTCAGGAGAGGTAATTGTAGCCAATAAAACAATTATTATTTCTGGGTTTTTATCAGACGGCTGACAATCTTTCGCTCTCCCTTGAAGACCTATTCTGTCTACAACTGCCTTTACGACTGTAACTGCCTCCGTAGCCGAACGATTACTATACTGAACACAAAGAGGTCCTGGGCTTGATTCCCAGGCCGGGAGAAATATGTGTATGGCCTATATTTATTTCTCTCGTGAGTTTGAGTGTAATTTGTGGTTGTAATTTTCGTGAACTTGTTCTCACTCGGTCGGTTCGGCGACTTTCGAATCATGCTCGAGTCGCGGTCGGCCGGCCGATCGTGTCCAGCTCCGTCAAACCGTCGAGTCGAGTTGCAACGAATTACTCGAATAAAATACAACTCGTCGCATCTTTATCTCTGCATTGAGATTTCGACTTTCGATGCCATAAGCGACATCTATGAGAGATATTATGAACCTTCTCACTCACTTGTTATATATTTTTTATTACTAGCATATCATATCGATAGTGTAATGTACGTAGGAATATTTTAGATTATTGTACAAACAAACATTA